TGAGCAGTTAAATGGGTGATGAGAAGAAGACGGGCAGATGCTGATAACCCTCCCGTTTGTTTTTCTGGCTCTGGTCTGTTTGTGAGCTTCTGTGTGAAAGCAAGTTCTCTTGTGAGTCCTTTGGTTGACAGGCCATATACTCCTTGGGCAAAGAGCCAAAGGCTCTGGGGCACTGCAGTAGGGATGCTCACGATGGGCTGCTTTTGCAGGTCTAGATTTTTCAGGGTCTAGATTCAGCCACATGAACTGCTGCAAATGCTTGAATTGTCCTGAAGAGGGTACTGCAGGTAATCCAGCCTGCACAGGACTTGCAGAAAACTCATCTTCTGGGCAAAGCACTCGGGAACCTAGGGTCTGATTTTTGTCAGTTTGTCAAATGTTTATTGCTTCATGTTTATGGCAATAATAATGTACACCTGACCTAGAGGGAACCTGACAACCAGAGAAGCCCACACTTACAGAACTTCAAATCTCAAAGCTGTTGGTTTGAAGCATCTTCTGCTACCCTGAAAGTCTGAAGTGAATGTGATTGTGTCAGGGAGTTTGGTGAAATGTCCTTCCCTTAACTGCTTGCAGATGAGCTGCACCTCCAACCACTGAATGCAGACATGCTTAGAAACTAACGAATCTATCCTTTACTGCCAAGGCTGATGAGACAGTAGCTTGGTTTTAGGGCTCCTCAGCAAGAGAGAAGGGCTTATTGCTCACTCCATTTCTGTTCATTCCAGGAGTTGCATTTCAAGAACCGTTACTGGCATGACAACTGCTTCCGCTGCTTCAAGTGCTATACGTCCTTGGTCAATGAGCCCTTCATGCTGAGGGAGAACAACAAGGTTTGGTGTAGCAACTGCACTGCCACTGAGGATGCACCCAGGTGTAAGGGCTGCTTCAAGCACATTATTGCAGGTACTGGTGCCAGTGATAGGGGTACAACTGCCAAGTTCTGCTCTAGGGCAAAACCATGGCAGTTTATCGAGCTGTGGAGGCTGCAGTTAGGGGTACGGGCATCATAGTGGAAGGCTGGAGCACCACAAAATGGTGCGAGATCTGACTGTTGCTCTCGCCTGTCCATTTTATTCGTGTTGAAAGGCTGCTTTGCAGTTAACCCTCATGTGGATAGTTCACCCTAGTGTAGTTAGTCTTAAACCATTTCTACCAAAAGCTTTGCTCTGTAAACCAAGGTCCTCTTCTCAGAAAGGCTCAGGCGCCTGTCTGACAAATGTTTTAAGAAAATCTAGAAGGCCCTGACTAAAGTCAGATACAGAAATTAACAGCTCGTCCCCTGTCCACATTACAATTGAATCCTGGGCATAGGTATGGACAGGTCTTGCCTACAGGTATGTTACATCGCACAGGGTGGGGAGTTTGTCACAAGCCTGAAATCCCACATAACAAGTTATTTCTCTCTGTCGTAGGAGACCAAAATGTTGAGTACAAGAAGATGGTCTGGCATAAGGACTGCTTCACTTGCAGCCAGTGCAAGCAAGTGATTGGATCTGGGAGCTTCTTCCCCAAGGGTGATGACTTCTACTGTGTCTCCTGCCATGAGCATAAATTTGCCAAGACCTGTGCTAAATGCAAGAATGTAAGTAAGCCCTTCCACTTTGCAAAGGCAGCTGCCAGAACTAGCCCTCACATGTCTCTTGGAAGCTAGGTGAGGAAACCAGTAGACAGATCATGCTGGAGCTGTACCAATGCTTATGTTCTTTCCTTGAGATACTGGTGCAAGCGGCTGGTGGTATAATAATGTGAGAGCACTAATGGTTCTTGCACATTACAGTATCTGAGCCGGGGCTGTGGGGTGATCTGATGGCAACTCTGCTGAAACCAAGTGGGCACCGGCCTTGCACTTGCTTTGGGGATGGTTTAAGCTCTCTAATAGGTATTGTGTATTCCAGCAGTAAAACAGTGTTTTATAAAACAGCTGTGTTACAGCTTTTGCAACTGATTAGCATAGAATTGCAGAGTCACTGCAGGTAAAATAAACTGTTATGAAAGCTCCAGGCATGCAGGATTTCAGGCTAGAGGAACTCAAGTGCTGCACCATTTTAATGAAAACTTTCAAGAGATCTTCTCCATGACAAAGCCCTCCTACCCTGCACCCCATGCCTGCATCACCTTTCTTCCTCCCTACTGATTCTGAAATGCATCTCTGCTCTTTGCCTCCTAGCCCATCACTTCTGGAGGCCTCACTTACCAGGAACAACCTTGGCATTCAGAGTGTTTCATTTGCTCCAACTGCAAGAAGCAACTGGGAGGGAAGCGCTTCACAGCTGTAGAGGATCAGTTTTACTGTGTTGAATGCTACAAGGAGTGTGTTGCCAAGAAGTGTGCTGGCTGCAAGAATCCTATTACAGGTATGTTGGATTAAATGCAGCTTGAGGGCAGTGGGTGGTTAAGGTCAGAACAGCGATCCCCAAAGACATGCAGCTCAGAGGCTGCTAACACCAGAAGCAGGTCTAGTATCCCAAGCCCAATGGCAGCAATTTACATGTGATCTAACTATAAGTCACGTGCTCTTGCTGGATGGGGTCTGAGTTAGTAACTGAGCTCTTCACCCTTTGCACACCTCAAATTTACCTCCTTCAAAACTTCCCCACCTAGAACTGTTCCCACCTATATCTTAGTCTGGGAACCTTAAGTCTAAAAAGAGCAGTGTTTTATTGCCCCAAAGTGACAATTGCTTCGCTTCTGATGTATTTTACATGTCACAGTTACTGGATCACAAAGCTCAGCCCTGAAATGTGGGCACTAACCTGCCAGCCCCATGAGACTTGCATTCCATTCTGCATTTTAGATAATGGATCTGAGCCCGTAACAACCAGGTAGGGCATTTAGCCCAACCTGTCCTTGCTCTACAACTTGATCTTTCCTTCAGCTCGACTGTTTCCTGGAGAAGGGATCCAAGGGAAAAAGCTTATTGCAGAGACAAGCCACACAAGCCTACGCTAAGCTGCCTGTTTCTCTAAGAGCAGTAATATTGAGCAGCAACAATGTGGGTTCAGTTGCAGTTTTGGCTAGTATTTTAGGCATACAAATGTGGTCTGCAAGACCACAGAAGCACAGGAGGCAGTAAGAATGGGATCTGCTGTTTGGTGGGCTGACCCAGCCAAGGGAAAAGCTACTATCGTCGTCCTATAATTGTTTTCTCTCCTAGCAGGATTTGGAAGAGGAACCAGTGTGGTTAACTACGAAGATGAATCCTGGCACGATTATTGTTTCAAATGCACCAAGTGTGCCCGTGCTCTGGCCAACAAGCGCTTTGTTTGCCATAATGGAAAAATTTACTGTGCTGAGTGTCCCAAACGACTGTAAGGAGCAGACGGCAACTGCTGTAAAATGGATTTTAGAGCCCTGCTTTCCAAAACAGTCCTGGTAAAAGAGCAGGTTTTTGCATGTTAAGAATTTTAACTTTTTCCATTTTAGTATAAAAACTAAAGTAGCCTCAGTATACTGGGTTTGACTTTTGAAGCTCCTGCAGTACGAAAGCATGCAGCGTTGCAAAAATCTAACTTTGCCTCCAAGTAACTCTTAGTGTAAAGGCTTGAAATGCTGTTAGATGTAGCATTAGAGATCCAGATACTACATAATCTGCGTGTGGCTTAAACTAAAACAAAACTAGTTTTACACTTGCCTGGTATACATTTAAGCTTGGCACTTAAATGAAGTAAGTTTGACAAGGCATGCACCTCAGAAACAGAGATGCAAAGATTGCACCTGGGATCAGAGAGATCCATTATTATGCTTTTACAAGTACAGGTACATTACATACATCACACCATTAATGGCAGCTCAATAATAAATAGCCTAGCTTACCCTACCACACCAAATTGCAGCAAGTGTATGGAATGGCTTCATCTTATACATATAACAATGTTTTGGCAGTACGATTTAGCTTTAGTTAAGTTTCCATAAACTTATTTTAGTCTCAATTTCCGCATGGTTTGCCCAAAAATTTTGCTCATCAGCTTTTTTTACATCATTGTTTAAATGAGGCTGTCTATATACAATTATTAATCCATTAACAAGAAGTATATCTATCTTTCAGCTACAACAAAATGCACATGCATTTAGAAGTGCCTTAAAAATAGCTCAGACAACGATAGCTCTCCTATCCTGTCAGTGTATGTTTTATGATTTAATAAAAATGAGACTAGTGCCTGCTTGGAGTCCTACAGTCTGGAAAATTGTTTTTTCATTTTGCCATCTTACATGATTGACACCTCTTACAGCCGAGCTACTGAAATCAGGTCTGATACATTGATACTGGCAAAGTGAAGAGTCAGCTGTTGTGCCATAGCACCCTTAAATATCTGAGGACCAAAGCAACAATTTCCATAAACTAATTAATTTTTTAAATGTGTAACTGACACTGGACCATCTGCCAAGAACAGCCTGTGTGAAAAAGCCCTTTGGAGAACATATGTATAGCCACTGTCCATACACAGATCTACTACTGCTACCCTTCAGCAACCTGAACGCTGGTTTAAGTTTTTTTTTTTCCCACAGCAGTGGTTGATACCATATAGAAATATTTATCAACTAGATGCTGCTCTAGACATTCCCTTTCGTTCACAAGCACCTACAGAACCCTTGCAAGAAACAAAGAACCCTTGCAGGAAAAACAAAAGGCAGTATCTTGCTGTATTCTTGACGGTCACTGCTCCACTGTGGCCATGGAGCACCGTTAGACTCACCATTAGAACATAAAGATGCTGGTGCTACAAGTAAAAAGCAAAGGCTTACAGTGAAAAGTTAAAGAATTCCACAGTTACGAACACGTCATCGGCATGTACAACCACAGCCAGATCTGAAGGTGTTAGTACAAATACCTTCCCAACCACACAAACGCAATTGCCAAAGAGGCTACTAGTGTTGGGAATCTGCAGTGTGGAGTAGTTAGAGCAGGACCAGAGTGCATCTCAAGGCAGCTCAGCATGGCAAGGGGTTGGAGACTCCTAGTAAGGTAATGTTTAGCATTACAGAAATAAAGCATTGTTCAACTGCAAAGTTTATTTAACAGTGCGCACATATTTACATAGAGCTGTAACAGACCATTCAACAAATAATATCAGCACAGAAAAAATATCGGCATCTTTTTTGTTAGAATGATTGTCTCTGCCAGAATGAAACAGCTATCATACAAAAATACATTTTTCTTTTTACCTAAGGCACTGCTCTAAGGTCTAAAACAGTTCTACCGTATTCTGAATAGCAAACAGTGAGAGTTAGAAGGCTGAGGGTTTCCTACTGTAACTGTGATGTCGAGGAAAGAACACATTTAGTTCCAGCAAAACCATTTGCATTTAACCACTGAAAACACAGCTGCCATTTGGATGATTCATTTGAATTGAAGTATCAGCCACTGGTTTATAGCAGGATTTGAGACAGCTATTCTTTACAGTAATCACTTATCCAGTATATCTGTTACAGGAGACATAAGAACAAGACTGCATTATTACTTTTAGTAGCAATTTTCAGAAGATGCTTAGTTAATCTCTTCATGCTGTAAAGAGCAGGCAAGTGTAGGTTAAATAGATTACTTAATGCAGGCTTTAGGGGAAGGGAAATATATATGCAGCTTGCAGCCACTGTTATAAAGCTAGAACAGGAACACTTAGAATAATTAACATGAACAACACATGACTTCAGTGGTCTAATACTGTTCTGTACACAATAAAATAATACTTCCATGAGTGTAGATAAACTTAAATATTCAAAAGGAAAACATTTTTAAAAGCATGACATGTTAAACTGCTCTATGACAGACATATCTAGGTACTCAACATTTTTGTAACATATTAGTGCATATGCTGTAAAACGTTTTGATGTTTTCCAACAGATTAAAACATATTAGCCATGGTACACTACTGCATTTTGAAACTGCCAATATTTTCACGTTAGAAAATAAGAATTTCTTCTTCTCCATTCAAAATTGAAGATATTCAATTTTGCGTTTTTAAATAGCATGTGAACCAACAAGTAACAGCGTTTTTTCTAGAACATTACAAAGGGAGTTCAGCTTTAACACACACTGAATGAGTCTTATTTCATCAAGTGCCATTTTAAGAATATGCAAAATCTGGCCAGTAGCTAACTGGGGAGCCTCCAGTGGCACGTTGCTGTACATGATACTGATATGAAAATAAAAAGACTCAAACAGGTTACTGTAAAGTCTGTAAAAGGGAAACAAGTGATATTTAAACAAGGAAATCTTATCTAACAATTAGCTAAACGAATGGAAAAGGAACATCAGCACAATAGTTTCCCTGAAATGTTTCAAGGTGCAAATCTAGAAGTTTGCCATCCCTCCCTGGTGTTTTTTGTTTTTTTGCAAACTTGAAGATGGATAAAGTTAAACAAGCAGCTTTTCAAAACAAGGCCTTCGGTACTTGATAAAACACTGGATTACTGAAGTGCAATCACATTATTTCCAGGTTTCTAGTGTTCACAGTTCTGTCCAAAGAGCAAAGAGAAGAAAACATTTAACCATCGTAACTGTGTGTATGCCACATATGTCTATCATCACTGTCAGAGTCTACAATCCAGGGAGTGAGCACAGAACCACTTGGTTACTTACGGTCCAAAATCAGCGCAGCAGCTTTTTTTATAGATGAATATTAGTTTTCAAAGTTACGTACATAATTCTTAAACCATATTATGTCTAAACATTTTAAATTTCAAAATTAAAAGGCAACACTTTCTTCACTAAAAAGTTAATGATTTTGATCAGAACAAAATGTGATCAGCAGTATCGCATTAAAACCATCTATTCCCATGGCCCAGTTAGTCGTGGCCCCAAGGAAAGTCTAAATAAGGCTATATTCATGGGACTAAAATTCACAAGACGCAGAGTGACAGAGGAGACTCAGGAAACAGTTCAGTCTAGAAAAGTGCTACACTTTAATCAAAAAAAGTGCTACACATCATCACTTAAGGAAAATGTGGATAGCAAGCCTTGTTTTTTCCACCACCATTCATTTCAACTGTTCACACAGTCATTTATCTCACTGAAAGAGATCTCCTGCTGTGAGTACGTCCATTTGGGGTTTAGCTCCAACACCAGTGAAGTTTAGTCTTACATAAACCAGTTTACTGAAGCCTCTCTGGCACGCTATGCTGTACTGCATCAGGGTTTGGCTTCTCAAGTACATGTGGCTTCAGATGCAGCCCTGCTTCTTTCAGAAAATTCAGAATATTGTGTGTGCAGCTTTATGACTCCTCCCAAAATGTAACACAACCATCTGTGGAATTTAAGGTTGGTGTTATCCCCCTCAGTGAAGTGAAAGACTATTCTACAGTAAGTGGAGAGGACAGCTAATACCTTGCCAGAGCCTGAAGAGACCTTGTAAGACCATGCAGGTCAGCATCAAAAAGTTACAGAACATGCCTAGGAGTGGAAAGGTCTTGTCTGTAGAGTTACATCAGACACCTTTTAAACTGTTAGTATCTTCAAAAGTAACATGTGCCATTTAAGATATCTTAGAAGGAGCTTAAAATGCAACAGATGGGCTTGAGTGCTGGTAGGAGATACAGGAGCTTCACAGGGGCTCAGCTGTGTCTTTGGAAAAGCCTTAGGTGCTGTCTAGAGCAAGTACCTAAAAAGGCATCAGTTGGTGACTCCTTTTGACAGAATGCAAGTTACAAGCACTAAAGAAAGAGCTTTCCCTCCGGTCTACACATTGCAAAAAGTGCCTTGAAAACAAGAAGCTGTAGTTAAGGCAAGGAGAGCAAAATGAAAGGAAGTCAATTACCTAGCCAGAGGAAGAGACAGATAGGGAAATCAGCTTGGATTACCTGATGAAGCATCTATAGGTTTGGTCAATGAATTCACTGCACCGTCTTCCTCAAAAGCCAATTTGGGACTAGAAGGTATTATAGCAGCGTCATTCAAGTTTTGATTACAGTTACCAGCAGAGATGCTGTCCGAGCTCAGTTTGGTTGACTTGGAATGTACTCCAACGTCAATGAACTCCTCAAAAGTCCATGAACCAGATTTTCCGTTAAGATTCTGAGTAAGTCCAATTGTATGATCAGCTTCGTTAACACCCAACTTCACTGACTCATCGATAACCGTTTCTTTTGCAGGTTGGCTAGAAAAAAAAAAGAATGGATACTTCTATTACAATTTCTGCATGTTTAACCTTTAGATTGATTACAGGCCAGCCAATTAGCAGTCTGCATACTTTGCAAAGCACTGAATATCCTGAAGGGCATTCCCAGACAAGTTCCTCCAGCTGCCACGCAGGATCTCCCCTCCAAGAGCCAATGGGGAAGAACGACTCACCAATATATAGCCACTTTTTACTATACTAATAGCTCCCAGGTAAGGTCTGGCTCCAGAAATTTGATATAAGAAAACAAGTTTAAAGCCCTGCACCATTAAAACCTATTTTAGTAGTGTGCATTTTTCCTTTTTTCTCCAGTTAAGACTTTTTAAACACAAAACTGAGCCTCAGAAGACTAGCAATATTTAAAACAGATTCAAAAGCTAAACGTGAATCAGAGTGATCAATTTGCATTCATTCTTAAGAAAATCATGAAAATGTCTTTATATTCCATCACTGGAGGAATGAGATTAATTTATCATCACTTTAAAAAAAAAGAGTTCACAATGTCATTTCTAAATCATTAGCATTTAGATGAGCAAATGGAACAAGCATCAGAGGACAGATTTTCCAGTAGTAGATAGAAATGCTTTATGTTCAAAAAGATAAAATTTGAAATACTAAAAAAAATTCCCATTAAGGGAGGCTTTTCTGTTGTATCTGGTGTTTCAGCACAACTGAAACTGTTCTAGAGCTTTCTGTAGGTTATTCTTCCTTTTCAGTGTTGTCCCCCTCCCTCCTGTTTAATGTTTTGTTAATGAAAAGAACTGCTAGCCATTTCAAGGGAAAAGATTTCAAGCCAATGCCATTCTTTATGAGTAACACTGCGACGTTGCTGGCTATGTGTCTCACTTCTTAGCAAAGCCAGTACTGTTAACATGGTGCCATCTAAACAAACAATTATCCTGAACTAACTGCCTCTGCGTGAAGCAGTAAACTGACAGCATGCACACACCACATGCCTGCAGCAAGCCAGAGAAATACCACAAAGCTAGCGGGGTGCAAAATTTGAGACGTTACATACAGCACTAAATTTAATTTAAACATAGAGAGAGATTTCTAGTGTGATGGGTAACTGCTCTAACAGCAAAGCAGCCACCTACACAGACTCACCTGCAATCCTTTAATTCAGTAACAAGTAGAGACCCCTCATCGCTTTTCAAATCGTCTCCATTCATAAACACTTCACTGGCCTTCAACTCTGACACACCTTGTTCCTCAGATTCTGTAGAGATCAAACTATGCGCAGTCTCTAAACAACCCTCTGCCTCCCCCTTGACTTCCTGGGCTACGTCAATGCCATTTAGCTTTCCTGAAAGCAGGGGGGGGAAGGAAGAAAGGAAAAATGGTTAGATGGTCGCATCCAGAGGGTAGTGGTCAACGGCTCAATGTCCAGATGGAGATTGGTGACAAGTGGCGTCCCACAGGGGTCCATATTGGGACCGGCACTGTTTAATATCTTCATCAATGACATAG